AAAAAAAAAAAAATGAGAATTTAATGACGTCATTAAACAAGAATATATTTCCAGGTAATACATGATAATAATACATGTAAACAAGTTGCTCATATTCTTCTATACATAAAAAACCCTCGACTGATTTGATCACTTACCAAACACCTTTAAGATGCATAGCTCCAACTCTGTCTCTTATACACATCTAGATGATCACATATTACCACAATATACCACACGAAACATTACATTACTGCACGCATCGAATTTTTTTTTTTTTTTTTTTTTTTGCTTTATAGTAGTAATAGCCAAAAAGAAGAATAAAACCTAAGATATACACATTATTTTATATTTTAATCTATATTTTTTAATAACCTGAAAAGAAGATGATAAAAAATATTATTAGATTTTATTAAATAACACATTATATATATATATTATATGTACAAATATAAATACTTACTGGCAAGTTCTTCGGTAGTAGGAGGATCTTCTCTTTGTCGATATTGATCATAACGTCTCATTCCGGTAGATTCTTCAACAGGAGTACCATCAGGTGATGGAGTATGTAATACTGTACTTTGATCAAAATAACGATCCAAACCATCAGTTGTTGGTGTTGTGGTTCCTGTTGCAGCACCTCCGTTATTGTTTGTAGCTGATGAATAATTATTATGTGGACTCTGTGCATTAGTTACCATCTGAAGGTTACTATTAGTATAACCTCCTGGAGTTGATGGATTTGCACCTGGTGTTGCAGGACCAGCTCCTAAACCTGGTAATTGATATCCATTGGAATTGATTCTTGGTGAAGAATGAGATGATGAGGGTGTTGTTGATTCAGGGAATTGTTCGTATTTCACACGTTTACCAGAATGATTCCAACCACTAAAGGCTGAATTACTTGGGGAAGAATTTGGACTTGCATGCATTGGACTTGGGAAAGAACCTGCAGCAGCATTCATGGCGGAGCTAACGGCGATACTATTCAATGGAGGAGGAGGATGCATGGTAATAGGAGGACTTGGAGTAGAATTATTTGCACTGTAATCATCATTTTCGTCATCACCAACGAAGCCACGTTTTTGACCAATAAGTTGTTGAGGTGAAGCTTGTCCTGGACTTCCTCCTACAACATCGGCGGCCGAGACAAGATTGTAAAGGCCTTGACCTCCGGGTCGAATATAACCGTTACCGTTACTTGCATTATTATCCTCAGTCTTTACATGAGTATTATATAAAGGTGAGTTAGTATTGCTACGATTAACAGATACTTCATAAGTAGACGGTGGTGGAGTTGGTCTTTGTTGATTATGACTGAAATACCCAGCATTTTGTGGGATTGCATAAAAACCAGCCGTCGATGTATGCTTCAATTCGGTAGGTGAGAGATTATAGCTACTCACCGCCGGACCACCGGATACTACAACTCCTTGTACACTTTGTTGTCCTTGTGATTGTCCATTTATCAAATTATAACTTGTAGTATCATATTCTTCTAATGGAGTAGATTGAGGATGAGCGTTGTGATTTCTTGAAGGAGGATGTGTTGAATATATTGGTACAGCTGGTGGTGTAGAAGCAGAACGATCTGGAAAACCTGCATTTTGTGGATATTGTTGTGAATTATGTTCTTGACCTTGTGGTGTTGAAGGTGAGGTCATTAGATTACTATTTCCATAAGGATACCATTGTCTTGTTGCTTCAGGTGAATATTGAGCATTATTAAAATTGTTCGTATAAGGATGAGCTGGTCTCCATTGTGAACCAGGACCTGCTCCCATAGATGGGATTCTTGTTGACATTGGAGGACCATATGAATTATGTAAGAAGATACTTGGATCATCCACGAATAAAGGATAAAGTAATTCACTAATTTTGAATTGAGCTGCAAGTGTTTTTGCACGTTGAAAAGTAATCCTATAAAAAAAAAAAAAAATGAGAATTTAATGACGTCATTAAACAAGAATATATTTCCAGGTAATACATGATAATAATACATGTAAACAAGTTGCTCATATTCTTCTATACATAAAAAACCCTCGACTGATTTGATCACTTACCAAACACCTTTAAGATGCATAGCTCCAACTTTAACAACCACTCTTCCTTTTTCATTCTTTAAAATACCATCTCTTTTACCACGTGACATACCAACAACGTTCAAAAGTTTTGTACCATTAATCATATCGTTATCTAAAAAAGATTTAAAAGTATTGATAAGGTGAGATAATCCAAATAAGATGAAAAATTATGGTGGTATTTAATGGCGATCAAAAAACGCGTATTCATTTTTGATCGCGTTACCAAAAAAGGAAAAATCATTATATTCCCCCCATAATAAACCAAAAATTTTAAAATTAAAATTAATTAATAAATATTAATTAATTTTAATATTTATATCATTACATACCTTGTCGTCTAGCTACACAAATTCCTCGAGCATCAACTTGGTAACATAATGTTTGTTCATCTTCCCATATAGTTGTGGTTAGTTTTGGTCTTGGAGTATGACCTTGAGCAAGACCTGATGCAGCAGTACTATAACCTACAGCAGGTACGAAAGCACTACCAGCAGTGGCTGATAAAACTGCAGTACCGTTAGTACCACTGAAACCCCATTGATTTGGCCAGAAAGGGTGTGTATTTGGACTAGCAAAATGATTATGAGGAGGAGGATAGATCAAAGTAGTACTACCGCTGTTATCTAAGTGAGAAGTTGTCATCATTGTGGGAGAATCTGATTGAGAAGAAATAGAAATTTTTGTTGGGTTTGTTACAGGAGTAGGATGTTGTTGGTTATAAGGAGAAAAAGCGGAATGAGGTTGAGAAGCAGGAGGACTTGTTTGAGTGGCAGTCGAAGTTAATGAACGTGGACCAGCGGGAGAGTTTGGGTTGCTGGAAGGAGAATTTGATTTCGTGTTCGTCGTCGTGGTGGAAGTTGCTATAGTGGTATTTTTAATTGAATTTGTACGAGGAGATTCGGTCTTGACAATCGACGTGGACGTGTTATTAGAGAAAGAAGAGGACGGAGAAGGCGGCGTGGTAGGGTGTTGTTGCGTTTGAGAGTAATGAGCGCTGGCAGTTGTTAATGCAGTATTGGTGTTAGATGAATCGGTATAAAGCTTATTTGAATTCTGGAAACCAGCCATAAATGAAAAGGTGTCGCGTAATTTCTATGTAAGCTTCTGTATGTTACCGCCAAATCTTGTTTCTGTATGTTTTTTATAGTTTTCAAACAACACAACTAGGTCGGTATAATAAGATACAATAATAATATGATATATGATGTTTACTGAAAGATTTTTTTTTTTTTTTTTTTTTTTTTTTTTTTTTTT